AGTCTCCTTCCCATAGGTACTCTGTCTTTCTCAGGGGAGTCTGAGAGAGAACCCTGCGTTTGTCCATGGCCTTGTTACCATGAGAATTCTCCTGGAGGTTTGGTGGAACCAAAGAGGCTTAATGTGAAACCGGGTGTATAATTTGATCAGAAAGGTCAGTCGGGAATGCAGAGGTGGCTGGGGTACTAGGGCCTTTCGTTTGGGGCAACTGCGGGGGTGAAGGGCCGCCCCCCTACTGGGCCAGGTGCGAAGGCCAGCAGCCTTCCCCAGCTTGGCTTGGGCCTGGCTCCCACTTTGGGGGTTGTAGGGCCACCCCCGGGCCAACCTCACCTCAGGCACCACTGCCCCCACCCTAAGCCCACCCTCCTCCTCCTCAAAGGGCCCAGCTACCCCTGGAGTCACCACCACCCTCTGTGCACTCAACCCCAGGCTGCCCCTGGCCCCTCAGGCCTTGCCATGAAGATCAAAGATGCCAAAAACAAAAATAAAAAACCCTTTCCCATGGTTTTGCACGGACACTGGGGGAACTCTAGTAAAGCTCTCATATTTTGAACCTATTGATATCCCAGCAGAGGAAGAACAAGAAGTTGCGAGCTTGGAAAGTGTCCTGAAACATTGGACTTCGAATGTAGCACATGGATCCACTAGTATTCAGGATGTACACCTGGAACTGAAGGATTTAACACTTTTTGCCCAGAAGGGAGCCTGCACTTGATCGATTTCCAAACCAAGACCTCTCTACTTTTTAAAAATATATATATATATTATTGATTTTTTACAAAGAGGAAGGGAGAGGGATAGAGAGTCAGAAACATCGATGAGAGAGAAACATCGATCAGCTGCCTCCTGCACACCTCCTACTGGGGATGTGCCCGCAACCAAGGTACATGCCCTTGACTGGAATCGAACCTGGGACCTTTCAGTCTGCAGGCTGACGCTCTATCCACTGAGCCAAACCAGTTAGGGCAGGACCTGTCTACTTTTATCAAATTGGAGGGGGAAACTTCTCAACATTACACCTGGTGCAATGTGCTACAGGAGGTGGTGCCCACGCCTGCACAGACTGGATGAACTCGACCGTCTTGCAAAGGGCCTGCTGTGTACAGAGTCTGCCAGAAGGGCTATACACATATCGCAGGCACTACACAGATAGCAGCAGAGCGCTCTTCCCGTGCTAGTGCCTCAGAACCCGAGCGATGCCAAAAGATGCCTTTGCGGACACTGGCTCGGAGTCAGTGTTTTAGCAGTCCATTCTGATGACAACTATAAACGAGGCACTGGGACAAGCCTTGGAGGGGGTACCTTTCTGGGCTTATGCGGTTTATTGGCTGGCTGTGAACATTTTAAAGAGGCTCGTGAAATGGCATCCAAAGGTGACAGCACCCATTCTGACAGCTGACAAGCTGAGATATGCAGGAGACTGTGGGAGATTTGGCCTGCTGGGCTGGGCTGTAGCATCTGGTTTTGGCAATATGATTGGCAATATGATTTATAAGGGGGAAGCAAGGATCTGTTAGTAAAGAAGATCTAGCAAGAGCTACTTTAGTTACTATCACCAGTAACATTCGTTGTGTGGCCGGAATGTGTGCTGTTCATGGGCAAATAAACAGAGCTGTCACTGTGTGAAACTTCTTATGAGCCAATACTCTCTCAATGAAACTTTTGGCATATCCACTGGATTACTGGTCAGAAGGTCAGCTGAAAGCATTGTTCCTAGCGCATGGGGTGCTTTGGAGCAGTTGGTGTACTTCTTGGGCTGCCAAATTTCAGCTAAAGCATCAGGTTTCTCTCTGCTAATAAATGTCATTCAAGAGGAACTGAAAACCACAGGCCTTATCACTGCATTATTTGTCACTGGGAACTAAAGGATAAAAGAGTAGGATTATGCCTGCTGATTTTTAAATGTCAAAATAGCAAGATGCTAAATGTTGCCATATTAACAGCAAGAACTTGGTAACAGGTGAAATATTTCTAACTGAAATGCTGTCCCTTCTGTATATAGCCAGTGTTAAATCCTTAAATGCAAAACAGCCTCTAATTGTTGAGCTTTCTCACACATACAAAGAGGGGAAAAAAAGAAATGTCAGTTTTAATCCACAGGGACATGTCCCATATTGGGCCTGGATGTGCTACTCAAATAATCAAAAACCAGTGGCCAGCCCTAACTGTGTTGGCTCAGTGGATAGAGCATTGGTCTGTGGACTGAAGGGTCCCAGGTTCAATTCTGGTCAAGGGCACATGCCTGGGTTGTGGCTCAATCCCCAGTAGGGGGCATGCAGGAGGCAGCTGATCCATGATTCTCTCTCATCATTGATGTTTCTCTCTCTCTCTCTCCCTTTCCCTTTTTCTCTGAAATCAATTTTTTTAAAAAGTGGCCAAAGGAGTTGACTAGACCATTACCTCAGGCCAGGAATCCATATAATCATGTCCTGTTATAACTCTCCCATCCAGGTATGTGCTGCAAGTGCCAGGGTCATCCTCGTGTGTGGTGTGTCCCCTGAGGCTGAGTGTCTGGTAGCTGCTCCTTGAAGCCCTTTGGAAGTAACAGGAAAGAGCCACCTCTGAACCACATCAGTTCTGAAGACAGAGGACGGTGCCTCCTGGGTTCCAGGACCTTTTGGTGCCCCCAACCCAGGCAAGCTCCATTCATATAACCACCGCCTCCTGATGACAGACACTCCTGTCTAGCTGAGTTCCATCAATCTTGTATTTGCCTTTGCAACTTAACAATGAAGCTCAAATTTGCCAGTTGAATAGGATACAATCCAATCTCTGATAGGAGTTTCTGAAGCCGAAGGAGGTGGGTCTTTCTGGAGGCCTTTCTGTTTCAAGTAAAATCCAAACGAGTGACTGGCAATGGAAGCTCACCACTGGGCAGTCTCAGGAGGACCAGAGCTGAGAAAGCTGGAGACCAGTGCCATCTCCCTAACCCCCACCCCAGACAACTACGAACAAGCTGTTCTTGTTTTTCACTTCTGGTAGTAACCTCTTTAAATAAATAGATGAAAGATAGATAGACAGTCAGATAGATAGATAGATAAATAGATGATAGGGTATATGGAAGGATGGACAAATAGACAACTGATACATAAATATAGATACTATCTTTTATTTTTCTATAGACATTATCTGTTGACTCTATACAAACGAAAATTTAGTTGTCTGATGTTTGACAACTGTATCATTATTTTATTTCTACTCAAGATGTTGTACTTGGGATCAATCATTTCTCTTGCTCGAGTTGACGGGAGAGAGCAGAGAGGAGCCTTGGTTCCAACGACATTCTACAACTGCCACGCCCGCTTTAGATGGATCACGTCCAGTTCTGCTGCTGCCTACCGACTTCTTTCTAAGAAGAAACAACTTCCTCTTGCTTAAGACTACTGTCACTTGAGGGCTTCTCTATTATTTCCACTTGTAGCTGATCCTAACTGATACTTCCCCGCTCTTAGGGCTCAATGCAAACTGAGCCTGGCCCCGCCGCTCTCTGACTGAACCTCCCACTGCAATACCACAGTCCTCTTGTTTACCACACTATCCACCCAAGCTTCCCTTCTGTCCTGTACTATTGCACAGATGGTTTCCTCTATCCTCTGATCAAAGTCCTTCAGATCTCAGGTCAAGTATCACACCCTTAGACTAGCTTCTAAGAGCCCCAGTCTAATGTAGGTCCAACCCCCTGCTGGTATTCCCTCCCATTTTCCCTCTTTGTAGCACTTAATACTACATTTGCCATTTTACAAGTATTTGTTTCACCTAGACTGTAAGCTCCATGAAGGAGGAGTATATGTCTGTTTTGTTCACTATTATGTACCCAGGACATATACTAATCACATATAATAGATCTGTATTAGTGAAAAGATATTTTTTAAATGAGGGCCTGGCTCAGAGGTTGAGCATCGACCCATGAACCAGGAGGTCATGGTTCGATTCCTGGTCAGGGCACATGCCTGGATTGTGAACTCGATGCCCAGTAGGGGACATGCAGGAGGCAGTCAATCAATGATTCTCTCTCATCATTGATGTTTCTATCTCCCCCTCTCCCTTCTTCTCTCTGAAATCAATTTTTAAAAATATATGTTTTTTTAAAAGAGGCATCTCCATGGCCCATGGCCATAGACAATGGGGCAGTGAAGGCCTGGGGTGGGGGGTGGGAAGGGCTGGAGGAGGGCAGTGGGGGAAAAAGGGGAACACATTTAATATTTTCAATAAAGAATTATTTTAAAAATAAATAAAATATAAAAGAGGCATTCTCAGTTCAGAGAGGTTAAGCAACAAGTTTAAGTTCACATGACTAGTAAAGCTGGATTTGAACTGAGGTTTGTCTGATTTGTTCTATGCTCATCAAACAACTTTCTGATAATGCGGCTTCCCTTAAACTTTCCCTCTCAGAAGAAAAAGGGAAGAATTTACTTGTCAGGCAAACACTAGTGTCAGCTTCCTGGATAGTTAAAATTTCTCATTAAAAATTAGCAAGGTGGTGGGTTTGGGGTGTACAATTTCCATTTTCTTGTAAGTTAGTTATCAATGAGACAGCCTCTCTGAATTTGATCAGCTCAGGGGTACCTACAGCATGAGTTGCAAAATGGAGACCTCGACCCTGCCCCATGCTACACTGTTGATCTGCTAGTAATCAGAATCCACACTCAACATAGACCAGGGAATGTGAGGCAGAATTAGAGTAGGAAAAGAAGAGTTATACCCAGAAGAAACTGTATGAACTAGATACATTGTCAGAAAATAAAGGAAAACTTTATGGGAACTCCTTTAAGGCTATTTGACCAAGATAGCAGAACATAATTTTGGTGCAGGTTATATTTTATATTTGTTTATATGTTCACTCACCAGAGATTCTGCATTCAAAGTTGAAGCTCAGTCAGTCAGGTACGTTGCTTACCAGGTTTTTTGGGGTGGTGGGGGTTGTTAAATAATACAAATCTGAACCAAATGTTGTCTATGCAAAATGAAAAGACCAAAAATCCAAAAAGGCAGGAACTCACAGATTTCAGGAGACAAGAATGCTTTATTGGGTCCTTGGCATGCATCCAGTCCATCCACCCTCTCACTATCCTCTGGCAGGACCTGCGGGTCTCGCTCCTTGCCACGAGAAATTAACTGGTGAGGCTCTGCTGGCTTTCCTCTCCAGGCCTGGGAGCTGCTGTGAAAATGAGCTCCTGGTCTCAGCAGCAGAGACAGGGGGAAGGAACAAAGTAGGGAGTCATCGTAAGGCACACAGGCATGAAAACCAGACCTCTAGCTGTGGCTAATCAATCACTAGGTCCCGGGAATGAAAAAGACCAGGCATCCCCTAAGATAGTCCCTAGTTATTGCTATGACTGAAGACTTCTGGGTGGGAAAACAGGTCTTTCTCAAGATGCCAAGGTAGAGTCAAAATCTCTTAATTTCCAGACCTTCAATGGAGAGGAAATCAATTATCTTTGAAGAGGAACCTTACTTTAGCACTTAGGAAATATTGTAACTCTTCCTTGCAGCCTTCCCAGAGGGACCTGTTTGGGCCTTTGCCTGGGGACTATAGAAGGAGAGGCTAAACACCCACACCTGGGGAGAGGACACTGTAGGACACTGGCTCCAAGCTTTTCCATTGTTTCTGGGAACAATGGAAAAGCATGTGGTCTGCCAATCAATGAGGGTCATTCACAGATCAAATTTTATGCTATAGTGAAATCCCAAAGCCAACCAGGGGTTGAGTGTATAGTTGAAATGGATATATTATAGGTATAAACCTCACAATGGCTCTCTGGTTTGTGGGGTAAGAGTGACTATAGTAGGACAAGTGCAAGCCATTAGAATTTGCCCTCTCTAGCAAAATGGTAAATCAGAAGTAATACCATATTCCTGGGGAAACTGTAAACAGTGGTGTTACTACCAAAGTCTTGAGAGTGACGTCACAGTGATTACTACCACAGTTCAGCTTAGCCAGTGCAAGACACCAGGAGGTCTTTGTCTGCTGTAAACGTCCCAAAGTGATGACTCCAATTGCAGGTGCTGCTTCAGAGGGGTCTTCTTGCTAAAGCAAATTCATCCCAGCTCCTGGCATTCGGTAAAAATCCTCTCATCTAGTGAACTCATTTTTTTCCTCTATTTTGATGAACAGAGAACATCAGAAGCATGCCATCTTCACCTGGCAGGGAAGCAGTACTCTGTTGCTGTCCTGGCTTCGACATATAGAATATCTTATCTGTCTTGCACTGTGCCACCACCTGGCTCACAGGGACCTTGACCTCATCACCACTAAGTTCTATCATGCTGACAGCACTTCTAGTTTCCCTAGAAGCCTTGGTAAGGCATTTGTGAGTCAGAGGTGGGAGATAAACCAGATTAAAATGCAAAGGCCTAACACCCTAATAAGTTCCTGGAGGCAAAGGGGTTAAGGTCAGAATATTCTTCCATAATGTGGAACAAATTATTGTATTTTGAATACCTTACCATTAAGACCCAATTCTAGTAAAAAAATTAAAAAAAAAAAAAGTCACTCTGGGGCATCTTGCTCCAACCTGCTTACTGATTGATTGACCTAGAAGGCTACTAGCTTTGAGTTGGGCCTAGAGCAAATGAAGGCTCTCCAGCTGGGAAGGCCTTTAGTAGAAAGGGTTCTGCCACCAGTGACAGATTCCATGATATATGAGGTGTTTGTCTATCTGAAGAATGCTGGGGAGCCATTTACAGCCTGAGATGGAGCAGAATGCTATATGAAGCTTGTGGCAAGTACTGACTAGAAAAATACAGCAGGGGAACCCAGGGTTTGTAAAAAAGTGATGCGTTGGACAAAAATGATCACCTTTCTGAGACATGGCCCTCTGGCTTGCCTCTGAGAAAGCCTAAATGCTTGGCTACGGCATCCAGGTGGCTAGGCTACCCCTGTGAACTGGAATCATCTGATCCACCCAGCCAGAGTGAGGCATGGCCAGCAGCACCCCATCATAGGGTGGGCACTCCAGAATAGGTCTCTGAAGGCACTGGACAGCCGTGTATGTGGATTGCTCACTCCATCTCCCACAATGCCTCCTCCTGCCCCACTGCTGAGCTCCCCTCAGTCTACACCCATGGCTTTAAGAGGACAGAAATTTGTTTTGCCTGTTATGGACCCTCCTGGGTTTAGATTTGCTTTCCTTACCCATCACCTCCTCTACTACCAATATCCAGGGAATTATGAAATGCTGTAAACATCACCAGAGAATGCACTTTGCAACACAACTAACGTAATGCGTTGATCCCCATAGTCCAGAAGCAGTTGGCTTGACAGCATAATGAAATGGTTTACTGAAAACTCAGCTATAGCTCCAGCTGAGAAACAATACCGTGCAAGATTGGGCCAGGCCTGCAGCTTATAGCATAAGCTCTGAACTGGCAGCCAATGCATGATGCTATTTCTTCTACAGGCTAGGAAGTTGAGAGGAGAGGGTCTGTTATCACTAGTCTCAATACTTTTTTCAGACGTGAGGTTTGGGACCAGGCTGGTATAGAGGTTTTAGTCCCCAAGGAAACACCTCCTCAAAGAGTCATAGTAAGGATTCTATCTGGCCACTTCAGACTCCTATACCTCTGAGCAGCACACAAAAGGTTGCGGGAGTAGCTAGTATGATGAACACTATTAAGGAAAAGTATGCTTGCTGCTATGGGAAAGGGGCACAGATGGACATGGGGATTCCTAGAGCATTCCTAGTACTGCCATATCCAGTGGTTAATGCCTGCGACCCGGCAGGACCACTAAGGAGCTGGATTTCAGAACTGAAGACCTAGGTCACTCCGACAGGCAAAAATCCCCAGTCACAAACACTAGTTCCCATGACCTGGTAGAGAAATGGATGGTAGCCTTTACCCATACTTATTTTCTTGCTAGGTTTTATCATTTTGGTTGAAAATGGTTAATTTTACCAGTTAATCCACGGGTTGCAAGATTTCAAAATGGGATTGTGATAAAAGAGGGTGGAGTATTACTGGTGACACTGGACTTTGGAGAGTGGTAGCTTAGTCATTACCCGTGGATTCAGTCATTGGAAGTGACCCTGAATGGTCTCCCTAAGCAGGGAGAAATTTGTGTTTGGTTGTATGTGGAGGAGTCATAATACAGCAGATGGGAAGAACAGTGTGTGTGTGTGTCGGGGTATTATTTGTCGTCGCCCACCAAGCCTTTTCTACCCTCCCACTCTCCACCATTCTTCTGGTGAGAATTCCCATCCTCTGGAAACTGCCCTCCTCCCATTCCATGAGCCCCATGCCAGGAATGTGAACCTTGGAGGGAGACCCACTGGGACCAATGGCTGGATGGTGTCCACCTGACAACAGCAGTAGCTCGTGGGAGGCAAGCTCTGGAGCTACCTGGCTCCCCGCTTCTCAAGGCTAAATGTCCAGCTATTCCTCTGTGAGCTACCCCAACACTCTTCTCATGAACCTTTTTTCTTTAAGTTGATCCAAGTCCATTTCTGTTGCTCAAAAACCCAAGAAACCTAATGGAAAGGGTCTCTTTTGAGATTACATCATGCATCTTTGATCCCCAACAACTGTCAGTTCAGAGTCTGACATAAAGTAGGGAGGTGCTTAATGGATAAATAAATGAATGGGAAATATTCCAGCTCTAGTTCACCAGGCCAACGGGGATAGGCAGGTGGGAGAGTTGGGGCACAATGGGGCAAGAGGGAAAAGTGGGGAAAGTCATAGGAGGAGATAGAGAAGTCAGAAATGTCAGCATGGAGAGGGCAAACATCAGGCAAGGAAAATCCCAAACCACAGAGGGAAGGGAATGGGTTGGGAATGAGAAGCCTTCTGCCGCTTGGGAGGCAGGAAGTGGTCAGTGAGTGGCTGGGAGGCAGACGCTGGCTGGCGCCGGAGCTGGTTTGGCTGCAGTGGAAGAAGCCAGAAACAGTGGCGTTTCCCCAGTCCCCAGCTCTGCTTTACCCTCTCGGGTTTCCTTCTTCGGATTCCTCTCCCAAATGAAGGAGCAATTCCAATCTGCCCTCAAGTTCATAGACACCCTGCTAAGGAGCACAAGCCATCAGCCCACTTGTATAAGCAGCATGGACTGTCTAGCTGTGGCCACAGAAGGCTGAGACTAAATGTCAATCCAAGAGCCAAAACATGGATCCATTTTTCCAGTCGGCCCAGGGAGAACCTGCCTGGGGAGAGGGGACCCTGAGTCCATATACCTACAACCACACCAGATGAGGGAGAGCAGGAAACACAGTTGCTGCCTTTATTGCATTCCAAGGGGAGCAGGCTAGCTCCAGACCCACCCCATTTGGGGCTTCCAGGTTGGGCTCTCAGGAAGGACACGGGGTGCTGGGCTGAGCACAGCAATTCCTTGGGAGCCCATATATGAGGTCCCAGAGCTGGAGCTTCAGAATCAAGAGCTAATGGTTGGGGTAGGGGTCCTAAGTCCCAGGCACAGAGACAGTCCTCACAGCAGGTAGATGGTTTATATCCTTCCTAAAACCCCCATGCCATTTCCCCATGGAGAAGAGTCCCAGCTCTCCATCCCCAGCCAGGAGGGGATGTGAAATTCACCTTCATTTCCTTCAATATGGAGCACAAGGCCCACAAAGTCCACACTTTCCCTCTGGCCACAGCTGCTGACACAGCCCCTGTACCAGTTCTCACCTCATAGGCAGAGGGCCTGGGAAAAGTAGGGGAGGAGTGGATGGGGTAGGCCAGAGGCCAGAGGGTCTGCTCATTACCTGGATCCTGGTGGGTAGGGGGGTAGGTCAGGCTAGAAAAGCCATCAGGCAAGGGGACAAGCAGAGTCAGTGCAGGGCAGGCAGCAGGCTGCAACTGTGCTCAAAGCCAGGGATGGTGGATGGGGTGCAAGAAAGCACGGGAAGCAGGCAAGTGAGTGCCTGAATGAAGGGGGAAGAAAGCAAGAACACGTGCCACCAAAGACCACCGCACAGGACTGAAGAGGCCCATTTGGCACAGGGACAGGTTAGTTGCAGGGTAAGCTGGGATGAATGAGGCGAAGTAGTCTGAAAGAGAAGACACCCTGAGAGTCACACAGCAGAGGAAGCCTAGAGCCCTGAGGTCAGGGAGAGATCAGGGTTGAGCAAAGGGCGGAGGGTTAAGTGCTGGCCTGCATGGCAGGGTCTGGCTGGGGCAAGGGTCAGGGTGCAGAACTCATGCAGAGGACTCAGGGAGCCTCCAGCAGTGGCCAGTGTAAACTTCAAGGAGGGCCTCAGCCCTTGGGAAACTTGGAGGTGAGGCCTGGGAGCCCTGGTGACATGGCACCAGGAGAGGCCACTGGGCTGTGTGCTGTGCACCAAAGCCGTCTGATGCGGAGCTGACTGAGGAGAGGCTGTGCAGAGAGGCCCCCACGTGGTGCCTGCTCGGTGCACCTTCTCCAGTTTGTCTGTATTGGGAAAGTCTCCATCGGTTCAAGCTGCTTCCTTGTTGGTCTGCTGCTGGGTGGAGGCCCCCAGCCTCCTGTAGGGGCTACCGTGTGCCCTGGGCCTTGGAGCCCCCCTCTTGGCTGGGAGGCTGTCCCAATAACTGAGTGGCGACTGCACCTGAAGCCTGAGGAGTGGCTTTGGAGCTTGGCGTGCTCTTCCGGGAGCCCTGGGGACTGGGGAGGCCTTTCTTCTGAGGCTGAGGACTCAGTTGCGGGCCCTTCCTGCCGGCAGATGGACTCTTGGAGCCTTTGGCCTTGGCTTGGGAGTGGGCAGCCTCGGGGCCTTTGAGAGGTTTCAGCCCCAGCATCTCACAGAAGGTGTTACACTGGTGGGAGGAAGCAAACTGGTCCAGCAGGGCAGGGAAACAGCTCTCCTTGAGGCCTTGGTATCTGAAGCCAAACAGTAAGAGCTGAGAGGGAGTCCCACCCAGACTGAGGGTCCTTGAGGGGCTGGCTTTGGGATGGCTTTATTGCATTCCAAGGGGAGCAGGCTAGCTCCAGGTACATATACCCTACCAGTCAGTACTGGGGAATCTACCTGGTACTACCTCAGGTGGCAGATCTAAAACCTCAATTCTAAACTGAGGTCTCATTATGCCCTGGCACATGGATTTCCTCATGTGGGACACTAACTGTTGTGAAGACGATTTGCCTTTTTCATATAAATTAGAGCAGTCTCTAGGGCATCACTCTGCTCACGGGCCCTTGCTCATCTGTGTCGTGATGAGCTTTCTCGAGTGAGAAGGAAGAGGAGCAGGTACAGTCAGAGCCCAGAATTGCAGGTGACCCTGTGTGTGGGCGTCAGGAGCTGCTGGTCCCGGTCTGGGGCAGGGGCACAGCGTGTGGGGATTGGCAACCCCTGGGGTGTTACTACATGGCCAGGGGTGCAACTAGGACCATGTGACCATAGGCCTAGCACCTCAGGGATGAGGAACCAGGAGAACTTTGACATGTTAGACCCTAAGAAGACTCTCAGAGGCTTCTGTCCTTGAGAAGTACTCACCCTCGCAGCTTGGTGGCAATCTGCACATCAGTCATCTTCCAGTCAACCCCTGGAAAGAAAGTTGGAAGCTGAGTTCTGGCAGCCAGGGCTGGTTCTAGGCCCCCGTGTCTCCAAGATGGAAACTTGCCAGGTTTCAGGGCACATCTTCAGGCTTCCTGTCAGTGGGTCATCACCACAGGCCTATCTCACAGGCAGCGTGGTGTATTTCTGTATTAGTAATAACATTCCCGTTTTTACAGGTGAGGAGCTAGGCTCAGAGTTAAGTGGCTCAAGCAAAGTCTCATTCATTCATTCATTCATTCAGTAACTGAGCATTTTCAAACAGTCTGATAGTATTTTTCTTGAAACCTGCCTCTCACTAAGGCTGAGTACAATAGGCAGCGTAAATGTGGGCTTGAGAGTCAAGACGGACCTGGATTTACATTTCAGCTCTGTCACTTGAGCTGTTTGAACTTGACAAGTCACTCACTATCTCCATGTAGATGAGGTATTGAGGAAATCAGAACATGTAGGACTCCAATTTAGTGTCTGAAACACAGTAGTTATGCAATAAATATTAATTCTGTGATGTCTCAGCATTTACCACATTCCATTTTGTATTATAATAATGATGCTCCCTTACACCTGCACAGAATTTTAGTTTGCAGAAGGCTTTCACAAAGATGGTCTCAGTTAATTGTAACAAATTAACAGGGACAATATTATTATTCCGAGAGAGAGAAAGGAAACTGCAGCTCAGAGAGATTAAATGGCCAAACTTGTCTGAGCTTCAGTTTTCTTCTCTGTAAAACATAGACCCAGCGAGAAAACAATGAGGTCTGGACTTAAATCTAATTTCTTTAACTCTCAAGTCTTTCTACTACATGATTTTACTCATTATAGAAACTGTATACTGATCACAGCTTCTTAAAGACAATGACCATTCCTAATTCACCTTTTACCTTTCCAATACTTGGTAAAGTTAAATGATGGATGGATGGAAGGAAGGATCAATTCAGAGTTTACAAATAGAGTGAATGACAATGGCTAAATGTGCTACTAGCCTCCCCACCCCTAAATATATGGAGTTATAAAAACGGTATTTATTATACAGTTTAACCTCACTGAAAGGCACATTTGAGCCAGTTTTCTCTCTGACCTTTGGTTTCCTCACTTATTTACACCAGGGACTATATGTAACAATGTGTGATATTCCCAGCATTCCTCTCTAACCACTGTAGAGAGTTTTATCTTTTCCTCTTTCCTGCCCAGTTGTGTAAAGAGAGTAGGCTTGGAGGGGATGGTCAGAGAAGGAGGGAGGATTCATGCTTGCTGGCCTTCCTTTGCTGGGGAAGAATCTGAGTAATGGGAGAAACAGGAAGAAGCCAGATAGATTATGTTGGTTACATTAAAAGAAAGCTAATGAGGATGGAGGAGGAGGAAAGGGAGGCAGGGGACAGTAAAGCTCCGCTGCTGGAGTGGAAGCGAGTTTGGGTAGTATGGAGAGTGAAAGTCCAGAGCAAAGCTGCAGGGAAGGGAGGAAGGGAGATTTTGAAAAGGTGGTTGTGGGTTTTGAATTAGAGCCCATGTAATTTTTTTTTAACAAATTCTTTTAAAATTTTAAGTGGAGCCTGGAGTGCATGCCTTTAAATACAACCGTGATTACAGATGAGGCTACAGGAGGCCCTGGTATGTATTAAGCTTGCATACAAAATGGTGCCTGTCCGATTTACTTCACCAGGTTATTGCCAACAGCAAAGGAAAGTGAGAAAGTGGGCTGTAGACTAGTACACAAGCCCACCCCCCCCCCCCCCCGACCCTGGGCCTGCTCTCACACATGTGCCCACGTACCTTCACACCCTCATACCTGCCAGATCTGTGACCAGGAAGCTGCCATTCGTCCACAGATAGAGCCAGTGCTGGAAGGCCTGGCATTTCTGCACGGCCTCTGAGCTGCCTGATGCTGGTGCAGCAGCACAGCCCCATTCCCGGGAACAGTAAGGCTCCAGGGGCTTGCCCAGGTCCTCCTCCAGCGTAGCATATGGGATATTGTTTGCAGGCCGGTAGATCAGATACAGTGGAATGATCCTAAACACAGTTTCACCTGCAGTGAGCAGGAAGTAGGGTGGCAGAAAGCTCCCACCTCCATCTCAACTGGATCATAAAGGAAGACCCTTCCAAGAAAGAAGTCTCAGCTCTGAGCCTGGAGGGCAACAAGGGAGGGGAGCTCCGCCCTGAGTTCAAGAAAGGAAATGGAGGCATTGACTTCTGAGTCCTCTCTATTCTCTGAGGTCAGGGGGAGTAGAACTGGACCACGCTATGGACACAGGAGGACTCTGTGCTTAAGGGAGGAACTGAGACCAGCATGTGTCAGAAAGGAACCCCTCCTGAGAAGATTCAACCAGACTGTGGCTCAATGTCAGCTAGACTCCAATATTCAAGAGTAGGCGAGTGAAAATAATTACCTTTTAGAGCTGACTCCTACAAACCCACACGACTCTGCCGGTTACCACAGAAGGATCCTGACCAGTGTGCCTACCACCTTCAGAGAGGCCCAGAACCTGCTATGTTCAAATTTTGCAATTAGCAGAAACTGGACAACGGGATAGGGAACTGGGGTGGCTAAGAGGAGACTGAAGACAAGAGCAGAGGCTTTCCTAAAGCAGGCAGTGAATCCTG